TCTTGTCCTTCGCAAAGGACCCACGAGTTCCACGCCGGGAACATTATTACACAGCGCGTGTGGTCGCCGGGGCACCACCGCAGCCACCATCACCACCGCCGCCGCCGCGGCGAGCATTGTTTTTCATCTTCACACCGCCTCCACGTCGGAGCGTGACTTGAACGTTGACGAGCGGCGCGCTGTTGGCGAGGAAACCCAGGCGTCGTGACGCGTCGCAAAATCGACTTCCTTCATTCCTCTTTTTTTTGCACGTTAACCCGGAAGCACTTCCTTTGCGACGCTTGCACAATCGTGCCAGTTTGCATAAATCGTGTGAATAAATCCCCGTAAACAGCGTGGTGGGCATATCCTGTGGTATACGGCCTCTGCATGAGCCCTCGCCTTCGGGAGTCCGTCAAGATTATGATCGCTTTATGCGGATTCGAATCAATACTGTATATACTCCAATGGAAGACTCACATTTTTTGTTCCGAATACTGCATTAGCTAAAAAAAAAAAAAAAACCATGCGTCTCGTATTCAATAGCCTCCTAATAAAAAAAAATTACGTCTTATTAAACACGCAGGTGATGTACACGATTGCTTCAGGTCAACGCAACTTCCACTTCAGGCAAAAACGACTCGAGGTCATTTTTGCGCGAAATATTCCAAAATTCAAATAAGCCAATCCTTTCAAGTTCAAGGGCACTGCTGGATTAAGAATCCTGATTTATTCTATAAACCAGGATTATAATCAACGGACTCCTCTGATTCTATAAGGTAGAGTGTGAAAGTGATCAAAGAGGGTCTCATTTTGTATTTGCAAGTAAAATTGTTGCATGCTCGAGGCACACAAAATAGAAGTGCGGATTAAATTCGAGTTGAAACGATAATACCTTTACATGTTTGCGAACTGTAGGCTATTCGAAAAGCCACATGAACAATTATGTATGTTATTTTGCTTAGAAGCTTATTTACGTAAAATTACCAAAGAGAATCTGACTGCATTAAAATAAAATTGGGGCTATGAAATCGACTGACATTCGATCTTTCCTAAACTTTGAACTCATTTCTCAAGTAACGATTCTTTGTCCCCGAACATCCATAAAGAACGGACGAGGTTGTTGAAGAATTACTTCGTGCCGAACCGACCGATTAGTTCGTGACTATATCGTGAGTTCGCGTGGTTATTTTGTTCATCAGGGCGAGACTATGTTTTCCATACAAATTGGTTTTATTTTGAATCCTAACCTTCTTTGACCGTATCGTATGTGGACCCATTTTTACCACTGAATGCGTAATTGCTCATATTATTTTAATACCTGGATTTTTGAATGTTCTTATTCTCCGTGAGGATTCGTGCGGAAAATTCACTCAATGCCAGCCGTAAATTTCTAGCCGCCTATATTCGTATATGTAAGAAGTTGAGACGCGATCTTCATATGTGGTGACGCTTTGCATGCGTTCATATTTTGAAAAAGAAAGAATTAATCCAGTACTTTAGTTCGTAATATGCAGTAGAAGTATCGTGTTTAATTTTTATATTTGCTCATGCAAAAAAGGTCGTGCATGAAATGTTATTAAGGTGGATTACATAATATATCTCGTGCTGCAGGATTATGAAACTAGCGTCGGATCCGTGCCGTTTTGAAGAGGTGATAAAATGGCGAAGAATAATGTTTCTAAATTTTGATTTTTTTGGGAAGTCAGATAAGATCTGATTTTATGACGCCGAAAATACGTGCAGAGCGCTTTTTGATCATTATTGTTAGTTTAACAAGACATTGACTCAATGCTCCTTGCTTCTATAAACTCTGACATAAAATCGGCACTGTGTAACTTCATTGAGCCTATACCCAAAGACATTCGTAAATAAATCCAGACAAGTTAATCTTAGTTTATGCACTAAATGTACGAGAAACCTCATTGTCGATTTAAAAAAAAATGTTGCTTCAATCATTCCCAATGGCATTATTTATTCAGGAAAAATCAATCAGCAGGATCTTAATTTTCAACGCTTCACATACTGTACTTGTACGTCAGATTTAAAGCCGCGGACGAGTGCATAAGCAATTGGCCCGCAGATTTGCCAGAATGGAGTTATGCAGAAATTCTTTTTTTTGCCAGCTGTTGAATTATTTTTCCAAAATCCTTCAAGAGCAAAGAAATATTGCATGTTTGACTCTTCGAGACGCATGAAAGCTCTCGAAACTTCAAACGCGTCGCCCTATTGTAATTGGATACAAATTCGTGAAGACTTTTTTTTACAAGGATATGCATCAAATTAACGCTGATATAACCGAAGAAAAGAGGCCCGTTGTACTCGTACCTGTCGGAAAAGAGCATACCCGCGGGCTTCTTCGCATCCGGCCTAAAATGCTCAGATTGTAAATCTTTGCTTACTTACCGATAGATAACACAAACGCAAGAATTGTGTTTGAGGTCTGTTGGTGTTGCAAATAGTTTTTCGGAAAAGGTGGGATGATTTTGAATTTTCGAGCATTAACGTCGTGGATTGCTAGCACCAGCCCATTTGTTTAACGATTGCGTTTGTCCGAGATAATGATACCCCATCGCATTTCCCCGAATGACATTTGAATGGCGCTGAAAATTTTCTGGTTCGGAAATACATGATTTTGAGCATGTTTCCGTGTGCGGGTTAGTTAAAATTGTGGGTTTGAGACCAACGGAGGGATTTGTCAGTGAGAAAACGCGTTTAAAAGTAATTGGAAACCACGGTTTCGTTCACCGCCCAACGCGACTAATGGCTTGGAAATGCGTCGGAGTTGATCGCGTCGTTGGGCGGAGGTGAAAACCTCGCGTGTCTACGTTCGATAGTTTCCTGCTCGCCGTCGTTGCCGGCAAACGAAAATTGTTGAAACTCTGCCCGTTTCTCGTTTTCGAGTCTATGTGAAAGAAACATTGCACATCTGTTTAGGTCTTTAGTTGGATTGAAACGACCAGTGAATCTCTTTTTTCGGCATCGTCGGATCAAGTGACTGAGTCGAATTTACCAGCAGGAGCGATAACGTGGTCCTCCTGGCGTATTCGATATCAATCACCGGAGAAACGTATTTCTTGGTCTCTGTAAGTGGTCCAGAATTTGCCTTGTTTTTTTTCCTTTCGTCTCAAAATGGTCTAATTCTAATATATTTACTCGAATATATGAGAAGCACTTAATTTGATCGCCGAAACTGACTGTGAAAGACCAGGGTGCGTCTAAGTAAAAAATGGAACCTTACATTCAAGGACGCCTTACATTTATGTGTGAACATATTTTTTCCTGGCAACTAGAAAGTTTCACTAAAGATGTATCATATGTCACAAATGCGATCAAAAGTAACATCGTGACACTATTCAGTTACCGGTACTTAAAAAAATGATGTCGAATATCCTTGTACAGCAACATCAAAGTCGTATCATAAATGAAGCACATTATTTGACTCAGAAGGCTCGATAGCCCAGGATTTATGCGTCTTGATTTCCCTTTTAAGTTGTATAATTTTCGTTTCAAGAGTTTGAAATATTTCAAAAAAAGGAACAATACTGTATACTGTAAGGGGTATACGGTATAATTAAGAGAGAGCTGATTGCGAATTAAGAGAGAGCTATCAGCTGATTGCGAAGTACAATCTGGAAGATTCGTCGCCAAATGTTCGCCGTGATTCATCGCTCGCATGTATGCTGAAAGAAGGCGTACGGGGGAATGAATGCTGAGAAGGGAGGGCAGCTCATCACGACGCATATGATTCTCCAGAATGCGCTGTGAGCTTCGTCTCCGGAAATGGAGCTTCTCTTGGGATGACGTAATTTATTCTGGCGCAAAAAAAGAAAAGAAAAAGAGAAGGATCGACGGCGAAAACGACCAGCCATTAGGAGGGCTCACATGATGAATTGATCGAGAGACCATCGCAGGGGCGTGGAGTAATTTTCGCTCTCGCGGGAAGAGAACGGGATCGTTTTCCGCGGTGCACGCTTTGTTGTTGTAGCAGCATTTTAATGCTCTTGTTCGACTCCGCGGTGGCCAAGGACCGACGGGATGTCGTCAAATGGAGTCACTTCATTCACGAATAAATGAGCTGAAGTCCAAAAGCAGCATGGGGAGTGCTCATCCGAGCTTTCAGATCCTTTCCCAACGCCTACGCGTCCCCGCAACCGTATTCACACGATTTTAGGCCGCATCTTGGCAACGTTTCAAGAAAGAATAAAAGTTGTATAGGCAGCGAAAATGGAAAATGTACAGTCGGCGAAACCTGCTCTTTACCCCGGATACATAACACTTGTTTATAGGCTGCAAATACTAGAATTTATCGCGACCTGGGCTTGAAAATTTGAATTTTAGTTGCCCAAAAGCGGCTGGAATATGGCTTATATTCAAATGTGAACCTCGAGCGCTGACTGCACCCTTATTTTTTCGTTTTAAAAGTTTTGCCAAGAATTGCTCCAACAGCAGTACGTATTTCGAAATCATTTTTTCTTGTCTTCAACTCTTCCCTCGTTTGCTGGGAGAGTTTGATAATAGCGGGTCGCTGTTCAACTCGTTTATTGATTCGTCCTGTCGCACATCGTCTCTCTGAAAAAGCGATCATCGTTTCGATTTCGATGGAAGGCTTTATCGGAATGTGTCAAGATGGAAAAGTGAACGTGCGATTGATGCGCCGCTATACTTTTATTCTACCATGAGAAGATCCTTTTTTATTGCGACTTTTGATTAAAAAAAAAGTACTGTACATCGTGAGAAAGCATGCCTTCCTCGGCTTCGGTGTCATGTTTTTTTTCCCGCGGACCCATCTCCGTTCGAATCCCATTTCGAAGCGTGCAGTAATTCGATCATTCCTCGAGGGTTAATGCACTATGGATGTTGGGAAGGCAGTTGAGCGACGCATGGTCGGGATGATTTTTGAACTTGACGAGTGTGCAATTTGAATGTAAAGCGGGGAGTGATGAATGAGTCGCTGATGGAGGATGTGGTTGCGGATCAGGACCGAGCGGGTATTAAACCGTGACGGTGTTGAATTGCAGGAAAGAGTTCGAGCCGGTCACGAGGCGGCACAACGAGCGAACCCGGGCCCACTCCGAGTCCCGCGGCCCGTTCCTACCCGGGGTCTCCGCCGAAGACTTCGCCTTTTCCGACTTCGACTCCCCGCCTGCTGCGAGCATCCCGTCGCAACCCCATAGGCACCCGGGCATCGGGTACGGCTCGAACCAGCCGGTCGAGCGGAAGGACTCGCTGGATTCGCAGAGTCTGTCGAAATACTTCAACGGGCCTCGCAGTCAAAGCAGCGAGCCTTCAGTCTCTCATCACAGCGATTTCATCGAGTACTCCGACTTGGACGGGTTTGCCGCGGAGTCGAATAGCTTCAGCCTGCATCCCACACCACCGCAGCATTACGTGGCTGAAAAAAGGTTCGTCCCTTTTTATTGTAAGAGAAAGTAGCGCTCATGACGTGCGCACCCATGTGCTCTTCGTCAAGGCGAGCGCATTCTTCTCGCGGACTCATCCTATAAAAATCTTTCCGTGAGAATTCACAGTGATTACAAGATCAGGCATACTTTTACTTCACAAGTACAGTACAGTATATACAATACGCGCACGTTGCTCAGCATCGATCCGAAGAAATCTTGTACTTTACTTCTGTAAATCTGATGGTACGGTAAAATAATTTATTACTAAAAAATAGCTGATCAAAAGAACATTAGTTTTGAAGAAAACTTGTTGCACGAACAATATATTGGGTGACAAAAAGTTAAGGTCAGTAGGGCGACAGCAATTAAAATGTACAAAACGAAAATAATGGCGAGCCAAGTCAAAAGTTCATGACTTTTGAACTTTGAAATTCACACTTCCACCCCCCTGATATTCCAAATAAGGTGGCTTGGAAAATCACTCCACGCGTTTCTCAGCAGAATCAAAACCCACCTTGTCCTCTCAATGAAAATCCCCTTTTCTGTCCACCCTTTCTGTGGTTCCGGCAACAGAAGCCGTCATTCCTGTAATATTTTGACCTATAAAAGGGTTTGCGCAGCGAAAAACGGAACAATTCCATTAATTTTCACCAGATGTACAGATTATTCCTCACATGAAAAAAGCGGTCGAATGTGGACATCCCATTTTCTGAGGAATGTTCTAATTGTTTTTAATTTTAATTACATAGCTAAAGCTCGCGTTAACTTTGAAAAATACTTCGAACAAAAATTTTCGTGCGCATTAACAACAGGATTGAAAGGTTCTTGAGAGGGTTGCATTATTTACGCGAAGGTTTAAATAACTCCCAGCACGTCAACCAAAACTTTTCGTTGATGGAAATTATGTTTTGGGGTCGTCTGGTTTACAAAAAAAACTTGCTCATTATGATGAAGAGTGAAACGAGGATTCCAAAATTCACGGAATAAAGCTTCTTACATTTACTCTGGTCAACACAGAAAACACGATTTTTGCTAATATTTATCGATTGATATGTCTGAGAAAAATCAATGCAATCCCAAAAGTTAATAACATAGGAGCTTATTTGAATACTTCCTAAATGTTCAGACTTGAACCGAGTAGGAGATACTTAGGATCTTCACTCCATTTTGTATTATTATCAAGGAAATCATTGCGGCTTCATCATCAAAAAATATTCAATAACTGGAGAAACGCTCTTCTGTTTTTTTGACAAATTAAATCGTTCAACAGTTATTTTGACTCGAAATGATTCCGTAGGTTTGCTAGATTGTCCGATCGTTACACCAAATTCGCCTGGGAATGCACTAAAATAGTAATGCTTCCAACAAATTATAGAAATGGCGTAAAACTTCCTCCAACTTCAGAGAAAAAGTTGGGCCTGCAGTTCACGATCTTGAGCTTCATCAAGCCGGGGATTTGAAAATGTGGCTCTTTCTTTCCGTTGTTCCAGTCCCTGCGTTTCTGAACGAAAATTTAGACGTCGTCGACTTTCGCAAAATTCCCTGAAGCTCGTTTAATACCAAGTAGGATTATTATGCAAACGTTTCTTAAGAACCATGTAGCTAAGTGGTGTTGCGTGGCCCAAGTTGAACGTCCCAAATTCCATGGATTACACGGAGGTAATTACTGAGCTACAGGTGAAAGAGCTACTCAAAGAAGAATTCCAATCCCTGTTGAGCTAATTAAAAAACAATTGATACTCCTCTAATAATGTACGTATTATTTTTACTCGCATGCATTCTGCCGCGTAATGCCGTATTATTCTGAGGACTGCGTTCAACTCAAAGCGAAGCAACAGATGCAATTTTAGACAAGAATAGGACTGCGTTTGCAATGCAGTATTTTGAAGCGATATGCAGGTGGCCTCTGTACAACGATTTTGTCTACAACGATTTTCTCTGAGTAATAATTTTTTGTGTGGTTCCGTTGGACTCTCTCCCCATGATATAGGGTTCTCCGCACATAAAGTCTCCCTGCAACGCTTTTTTTTTCTGGTCCCTCGAGTTTCATGGTAGAGAGAGTCCACCTGTCTCTGTAACACATCGATGTACCAGTCCTGTCAAATGAAAATAAATTAGAGTACGTCCACCAAGCACAAATATAGCCAAACCAGTCGTGATTCAAAAGCATCAAAACAAAAAAATTAACAATGAATACTGTAAGTCTGAAAAAAACTCGGCCCTTTGACGAGGAAAAGCAGTCTGTTGATCTGTTCACAAATGTTCTTCTCCTGAGTGGAATTAGTGAGTTAAAAAGATCCTATTCAGTACTTGAGTTATCTGCAGCACGGCCAGCTCATCTCTGACGCATTCTAAGTTGGAACGACAATAATTCAATGCGATTAAATCATGCTGTCCTGACACATCTGCTAGTGCTGCCTCCCTCCCTTCTGTAGATCTCTTTAAAATTTACCTGCTATTCAAGTAAATTTTGATTTTATGTGCATGAAGCTAACGCAAAATTGTATTCATGAATGAGTCACAAGCAGAAGTAATGGGTATCGTCGAGCTAGTCGACCGGGTTAGTAGCTTGAGCGGTCAAACGATCAACTGACCTTTTGCCCATTACTCTTTTTTGCAGGGATCTTTTTCCTCTTCGGTTCTGTACAGTTTCTGAAGAGCTCAAAAGAAAAGGTCAATGGGCCATGAAACATTGCCTGCCTTTCGATTTTCTGGTTTCCTCGTGCCCTCGAGCCATTTCCATTCTTTTACTCGTCCTGGAGAGTTTCCGGTCTTTCCTCACATGAAAATTGCGTTCGTCAGTCAATTTTTTTTAATGAAAATATCTCTGTGGATAAATGAAAATAGCTGTGTGTCACGGGGTGATTTGAGGTGAAATATAATGGACGTGTTTTCAGCTGAGGGAATTCAGCTTCAATGGGGTAATATTTTCATAATAAATACTTTCCGTCTTACAGATGTCTCGCATTCATGATGGTACATATATTTCTGACCAGCGGAACATTTTGAGCACACTCACAACAGTTCTAACGTTTGTGATGTTACTTCTGGGAGTGCATCAGCGAATGTTGGGGTTACTCTCATACGTGCATCGTCATTCTGGGTGACTGAGAGTCATAAAATTAAATTTAAAAGGAATTCAGTGCAAGAAATGATACACGAAATTAACAAGATATTTAACTCTGAATTATAATTTGACCTTGTGCGGTATCTTCTGATTTATCTTGCAAGTGCAGAACAGGAATATCTATATGAACTCTTTATTCCAATTCTGCGAAATACTCTATAATTATAATATTGATATCCCAAGTGCGGTGTACATCAGGGGCTTTCGCCGTTTTTGTACGCTGTACATTATTCGTTTTGAATGACATGGGAGTGTTTACATGGCATCGCCAGAGAAACTATTACATTACAACCAGTGTTACGTGTGCGCGTATTACAGGCTGAGAAGCTTGGTTACATTATCGGCTTTAAAAGCAAAATACTGTGCTGTATTTTTACATACATATGTAAGAAACAGTAGCGTACCACCTCCCTAGTTCATGTGTACTCCACCAGATTTCCGCGCACCAGTGATTGAGAAGCCATGATCTATGAAACCCAAAGCATCCACGTGGAGGTATTTTTCAAGAGCTTTTCGTCAGCACTGGGAACGTGGCAGCATTGAGCAGTGTCCGAACCCCAGGGTCAAACCCAGAGGTTGCTCACAAGTGGCTCAACAGAGAAACGAATCTGCGAAACGCGTTCATTGAGTTAGGATCTGCGGCGTGTACATGACCCCAATTGGGAGGTCGTGATTCGAGCCGGTGGCTATACCTGATCGCTTCTCGTTTTGGGATCGAACCTGCGGGTCCCGCAATGAGATGCGCGTTTATGCCGCGTCACGGTTTCGTCTTCAATGCGGCCCTGGCACCAAAACGCCCTCCTAGCTTCGGGCGTCTGAGAGGCAGAACTCAGTTGCCGTCTTATTGCGCTGTGTTGTGCTTCTTACCTCGATTCCGTTTCATTTGCTGCTGCTGCTGCTACTGTTTGGTGACCTCCAGGGAATTTAAAAAAACCCGAGTTGTGAACCATGAACACCAAGAATTATTTTTCGTCACGAAATGGTGATGCTTTCTGAAATTGCGACGAAAAACTCAAGAACAACGCGGTGGGTCTGATTTTTACGAAACGCGCTGACGCATATGTGAAATTTTCTTCTGGAAAGTCCTCTTTGAGTCTTAAGTTTTGATCGTTGAGGTGAACGCTTGTTGATCTCATTGCTGAGTAGGTACAGCATTTACATCGCTCAATTCTTACTCAGAAAAAAGCGTCACATGCAGTCTTTTGGCTCGAGTAAAAAATCAATGCCTAAATATAATGCTTCAATTGTTTCCGCTGATCGAGGAAGAGGTCGTCTTCAAATCTGCTGAAGAAGCTCAAGAAGAAACGCTAAAAAGCATCTATTTTTTCATGCGTGTGGGTAGGAATGAATAAGACGAGTTAATCCTTGAGTACATCTAATTCAAATAAGATGAGATGAAATGTGTCGTATTTTATCATGAGCAAGCACACATGCTTGTTACTGTCTCTTCGTACCAGCGAATGCGATTGCATTTAATTCGGTTCCATGTGTTCATCGGCAGTCCTCAGTACGTACTTGCGAGGCCTTACTTAAAATAAACAAATGACGCGTTTATTTCCTTTTTACTGCGCGTGTATCTTTGACTGCTGCGAATACGAAGTGAGAAGTACGTGTTCATATGGAATTTTGGCTGATACGAGTAGGACATTGTGCAATAGTGCACTAGAATTGCGTGAGTTGCAAGCGAAGAATGCAGTATTGAACACACCAGAGGGTCAATGTGTCAAACCAGAATTGGGAATCTGCAGCATGTGATGCATTTTTTTATGAGCATAAAACCTCCGCGCGTGATGGAAACAAAGGGGATCTTTCAACACTTCTGATCGGGATGGTACTCGGAAACTTAAAACTGGGATGAAAACTGAGACTCTCACAAAAAACAACTGGTTGATGGTTATCAGCGTGATATGCATATATACCTGGATGATTTCTATCTGTATCTTTGAGTTCACCATGAACTGATGGGCATTTTGGCACATCCTGGAGTTTACATTACTTGCTCTTCGTGTTTTGTTGCTTTGACGTAAAAATAGAAAAAGACACTCGAACTGTATTTCGGCGATTATAGACCGAATTCAAGATTTGAGTAAACATTCTAGTAGGGGATGAGTAAGACGAAGAAAAAAAGCTTCCATTTTCAAGGGAGGCATTCGTCTAAAACATGTGCAAAGTGGCCCCGAACTCCTCAAATCCATTGTTGAACAAACGTTTTTGAAAAATACAGAAGATAAAAACGTAATTCAAGATAAGCATAGTTTCTTGTAAATATTTTTGCCTCACGTTTTACAATTTCAAGCTACTGTATATGGCTTCTTTAGCTATTGGCGAAACCTCCCAATAGCTAAAGAATATCCTTTTACTGGAGATTAAATGCGCTTGCCTGCTTTTTCTTAGTTTGTTTATTGTAGTGTTTGTTGTGACGAACTCTGTTTTCATCTCGCTGTCGGAAAGATTCGGCCAGTTTGAAATGTACAGAAAAACGAGACTTCCCTTCTCTGCTTCCGATTTTTGAGACGCGCTTGAAAAATGCATGTCGTTCCTGCGCGGCTTCGATTAATTGCGCAACTACCTGAGACTGCAGTTGAATGCAGTTGTGTAATATGATGATGAGACTAAGTGAAAGTGTGTCTTAATTCTTCTTTGAAGGATGTATGATCCAATCGACATGTGGGAACCCTCTCCGGCCCAGAGCATGACGTGGCTGCAAAAGCAACAGCAGAAGCTGCGCGAGCGCCGCGAAGCCAGATACCGTTCCGAGCGGAGCCCTCAGGAAATCCAGCTCATTTCCGAACTGAAAGGCGTGCAAAGTCGGATGAAAGTAGCCAACGTGCAGAATAACTCGGTCGGGTCGTCGCGGGATGCACCACGACCCGCCGAGACCCAGCAAGTGACGCAACCTCTGGCCATCAAAGTCAACTTCAGCGACGACCTGAAACGCGGCTCGTCGCCGGCCAGGTCACTGCAATCCGAGCCCGAGGCGACTAAACCCGCCGCCATTCGCATGAAACGCACTCCGTCACAGAGCAGCTACGATCGGCAGCGGTCCCAGGACTCGGCGAAATCCTTCGACGAGCTAGATGCCCTGGAGCAGTCCATTCTCCGCGCCCAGCAGGTACGTTTACAGTGTGTGTGGTTTTTTTTTTGGGTACTTGTTAGTGTCCCCGTGTGGGTTGACAGGGAGGCATAGTTCAACAATCCTGTCACCGAGTAACTTTCAGTCGAAATTCTGGAGATTCGCGCAGCTCTTCCGAGTACTGTATATAATTCCGCAATGAGCGCTGATTGAGTTGGTATTGGAGGAATATTTGAAATTGCATTTTTACTGCGCCATGCATGGAGAGTCTATTTCAGGAGTCACGAGCTCACGACTTCCAGCATTGTCGAAGCAGAATAGCAAGAAAGTCCATTCAATGATTCAGTCGCCTTCGCGACATCTACGAGCCCAATTCGGCCGGAAAAAGTAACAGCCGCAGTAAAGCACGTCACCGCGTGTCGTCCATTTCAATTACTGGAGATGAGGTTCACTCCTCAGAATATTGTATCAACGCTTGAGTTTGTGAGATGGGAACGTTTGAAATGTAATCTAAACTTTGGATTCAATGGGAGAATATTTTCTGAGGCACTACGTTTAGAAAAATCGATGCTTTTCGATGGTCGAATCTCTTGAATAAATTCAAATTTGTGATGATGGTAGCGCCCGGTAACCGACAGCGCGTGGCGTGACAGGTAACAATAAAATCTGGAGGAACTCCAGAAAAGTCGTAACTGAGATGCGAATACAAAGTCTAGGTATTCAAACGACGTGATATCCCATGAAAATATATGTCACACTTGTATTTCCTAGCTATCTGCTGATATAATACAAATTATTAATATAAAGAAGATGATATTCTTTTTTTCATAATTTTGCTGCTTCATTGATTTCATCCGCTCGGTACTTGATTTCGTGCGCGACTTCTCCGTAGAGATCCAGCGTTGATGCCGCGTTGATTTGTGTTTTTTTTATGGATTCAATTGTGAATGCTTCAACTGCAAACACGACACGGATGTCAGGATTATTCTCACTGTTCTGTCGACACGGTGAAATTCTAGATTAAAGCTGTGATCTGATACGTTTAGTATTTTAAAGGTAGAGTAGTATCCGGGCTCCAATTAACCATGCATCCGATCAACCATACCCAAGGTCCAAGTCGATCAAAGGGAAGAAATCTGACAATGCAATTTTCATAAGAGATACTTTACTTCATTCATATCCACCTGCATACAGTAAGAAAATGCATGTAAATTTACAATCTGCGTCACAATTATAAGAAAGCTGAAAATTATCAGAAACGAAAAATATAATATTGTACTTTATACCTTGAACAGGAGGAGAAGCGGAATTTACGACGAATTTTTTGTGAGATTTGTGGGATTGTCGAAGGATATGGATTATTAAATCCGTCTACAATTCATTATTTCGTCTTATTCTTTTATCCTTGCTCGTAGATTGAGTTTATGGATGAAGAAACCCAGTCATTGTCCCTCCTATAACGGGGATTCTACTTGCATTTTAAACGAAATTCTCGTGGCAGTCTGTAAATTGGGAACGTATAAATAATACCAATAACGTGAAAATCTTGAGAGCTCATTGTGTTTTGAACAAATCTTTGGGAGTTCCCACAAGATATCGAATCACGTTATTTGTTGATACGGGATGCGTTCGTCGTCGTCGTCGTGAGAAGGATCTTAGACGCGGTGCCGTAACGTCGTGAGCATTGCATGCGTGTGACGGACTACAACACGCCTCCCCTACCACAATTTATTTATAGTGTGACACATCGACGGACGTGACTCATTTTCGCAACGAATCTCCCGGCAGGGAGCATCACGTTCCACGACACAACTATGGTCGCGAATAGAGGCACGGTCGTGAAAGGTGCGAGAAAAAATGGCGTTTCTAGCGCCGCTCTGTTTATTGTTATTCCTTTCCGCTGAAAATGAATCATAAATATGCTGAATCGCTCAGCGTTTTTTTCCCTGCATTAGTTGAACAAAACTTCAAGAAAAAGGATTCAGAAATTTGCCGTTTTGAATCCATTTATGTTTAATCGCTGGAACACACGCTTGACGCCTGTCTTGTTTTGGCGTGTGCATCCGGGCACAAGTCTGAAGCAGCGGGAAACGAAGGAAAAATTGCAGTGAAGATAGACGGTTAACTCTATTAGGCCGATGCTGGGAAACAAGCTTGGAATGAGGCTTTAGTGACTGATGCTGGCGAGAAGAAGAAAAAAAATCGTCTCAGGAACTTGCGGCCCATCTTGGCATCGACTTGCGCATTTGTCGAACGTCGTGCAAAAAGTTCCTCGTAAATTTCGCGGGCGAGTCATGAATCTTCTATGCTTCAGCACGTTCACTTCGGCTGGCAAAAATGTTGAACTTTGATTGATGAGATTTGAACCAGGGCTGCAAGTTTCATCATGCAACTTTTCCCTCGAAATTCTGAAATTTTAACTTTCGTCTCTCGTTTCCTAAGCTTTTTTAAAAGCCCAGTTCTGAGGATATACTGTACAGTAATTATTTTCAAGTATAAAACGCATGCGATGGTTCTCGCAAACAAAATTTTAAATTGAAAATCAAGTTGTTGGCTGGTTTTACCAAACCGCAGAATTACATAAACTTAATGGAAAACTGTTTTCTGAAAAAAATTAGTTCAGCCGATTTACCAAAACTCAGCTCCTAACATAAAAGTCATGATTTTGAAAATTTCCAACAGTTTTTCTAAAAACATAGAAAATATTTTACTTGCGTTCAACGTGATCCCGGTTAAAATAAATAACTTTTTCATCAATGTACTCGTAAAAAGTTGTACACTAATTTCTTTTCGCGCACGTTCATCGTTCATAAATGTTCTCACGAAGATTTCACGCGTATCATCGTAATTGGAGAATTGTATGTGGAAGATTCGTTTTTCCTGAACTTCTGCTCTGAATAATTCAAGGTGATCAATAAAAATTCAGTGCATGGAGTAGCTTTTTATCTCATGGTCTTGAGCACAGCTGAAGTTTCTAAATCCGTGATCGCCTGAATCTAATTTGGCATATCGCTGCTACGGTATTCGTTCCCTTCTACTGTGATCGTAATCTAATGTAATCATCATGCTTATGGTGTTCTGTCGGCTATGCTCGATCTTCTCGCGAAATCCTTGAATATTTGGAGATGAGAGAGCCGCTAGATTCGCTCCGTGACTTCCAACTGCAATATGCCCCGACGTCGAATGGGAAAGCTGAGGGGCGAAAGCGAAGAAGAACCGAAATCCACACGGCGTCGCGGAAATTCTTCAGGTTTTTTCAGCGGTTTAGCCACTAGGAACTCGAGAACGACAGCAACCCCACGATGCTCCCCACGTTCGAGTCGATTAACCCAGTGGAAGGTGATTAAGCGGTTCCGTTGACTTGAAGACGGTTCATGTTGGTAAAAGAAGTTCCATTGGGGGTCTGCTTTCGTCACCGCGACGGGGTTGCCAATTTGGCCATGCCTTCGTTCTTATCGACTTCTTCCTTTTTTTTTGCTGCGTGTTATAATTGAGAACTAGTCGGAAAAGAATGAAAAGGCTTCGGCGAGATTGTTTTTCCGTGCGACGCTTTCCTGCCTGCGGGGAACTGTTTTTTCTGCGAATGTCTGGCGACGAGTGCTAACGAAGGTTGAAGTTTCCACGACTGAAATACCGTCAACGCAGTTGGTCTGAAAAATTGCTCCCGCGTCTTCGTCAACGGAAAGCTTATTTTTTCAGTCGTCGTCATGAAAGTAATCTCGTAACTGCACAGCTGCTTCATCCGAAACCTTTCTGGACTCTATCGATGATTATTGTTGACAATTGAGCCGCGAACTTCGCACGATTTCATTGAAGAATGTTCTTCTGAGTCAACCTTTTTCTGTTTAATTTTTTGCGTTCTTTCGAACAGCGTGCCATAGAAACAAATGAAGCCTGCTGAGAACGTTGAAATCGCATTAAGCTTTGCAAATACAGTTGAACCTCTCTAATTCGGATTTGAAGGAATCTAAAAAAAATTGACAGAATTTTTGAGTTCAGAAATATAGTCTGATTTTTACAGGTTGATCAATCGAACTGCTTTTTTTGGCGTAGTTAACGAAAGATTCGAAATTTTTTTATGCCCTACCTGCAGGGGGTTGCCTAATTTCTCGGACTGAAATTATAACGGCATTTTCGACAGAAATACTATTCCGAAGTATAGAACTTATTTTTAATTGTTTTATTTTCATAGGTTTAAATTGGTACGAAAAGTATATCCATTCTTTATAGATAGAGTAATAGATCTAAGATCTATAAAATGTTTGGTTTCCTTGAAAAAATTGCTGTTGAATGCATTTTCGACCACGTGAGACGCAATTTCTCATATTTAATCCACGACTTTAGCATGCTTTTTCTTGATTTATTTCTGAAAATGATGAAGTCCAACCGTTTGATGGGAGCACAAACCCATTACGACTATATTCTACATGACTCCAGCCCTGGTTCAGTTAAAATACCTTCCTCTAATGACCATCTGGATGCGAATATTTGACATAGTTCGAATCTCATATTGAAAAGATCGCAAATCGCTCGCTGAATTCCAGTATCAATGATACAGTAAATGCAATTCTTTGCATCTGCAAAGTTTTCTAATACAGTACCATAACGAGCCCGTTGTCATACTTTCCCCTTGGCACTCTTTTTATTGTTTTTCTCTGGATGATGGAAATCGATCAGGCTTATGAAATGGCCCCATCGATAATGGCCGAAGCGAGTGGCGTGGGGTGGAAAAGTCGAATCGTCCTGGTCGGAAGATGTCATGAGGTGAAGCGATGATCTGGAACGCTCGAAATCATCTATGATGATTAAATGGACTTTCAACCATAAGAAATTATTTTTTCGAGAAATAAGAAACAAATTCATATTTTGCCAAAATGGATTTTACTTCGGGAATAACGGAGGAGCGGGTGGAAAAGCTTTGATCAAGATGGATTTGACTGGAAAGTGATCACGCTTCATGACACCTTCTGAACGAAAATGCGTCTATACCTGTTGGATGCGGTACTTTCGGAAGAAGGAAGAGCGGGAAAGCGCAAGGGGAGGTTTTCGTTTTCTCTCCAGCTTTTTTTCTAATATTAAATTGCTGAGGAATCGGGGTTGG